GTAACAAAGGGATTTACTGCACCAGTTTGACAAATTTCAGAATTTGGTTGTACTATCTTAAAGTTCTAGAACTCGATTTTACCTTCGCGATAAATTTTAGAACTTTCAATACACTTATCCTTTTTTTATGAAGAAAAAGTCCACTTATAAGTAGATAAAGTGTTAAATTGTGCCTCGAGTTTGAGCCCATACGCGAGACCCCACACACTCGTAGATCATTTATGCTCAAAGTCTCGCGCAAAATTGACAATCGGGAAGCAAAGCATGAACGTCCTCTGCACACGCGTGTATTTGTTTAAAGTCAAAGATGTGCGCGTCTTTCAAGTCCATCAATTTCCCCCTTCTTTAAATGCGTGCACATGTGCCTACGCTGAAGATGAAAGCCAAAGTAAAAGTTGTGGACTTGTTTTGTCTTCGTTCATTCACTTCCTTTGGTTTATTTTCTTTGCTATTTCATTCAGTCGAGACCGACAAAATGAAAGAAAGGGTGAAGCTACCATGTGCCTTAATTGAAGGAGCTGAACGACCATGGACAAGATGTTTGAAGACGGCGACCCACCCCTTCTTATGATTATCTTCAAAGATTATGGGCGCATTCTTGACTTCCTTCTCTCTTGAAATTGCTCCCCACTTCTATAAAAGTAAGAGACGGAAGGAGAGAGATAGATAGACTCCAGAGAGAGCTCCAGAGACGAAAAGCAAAGGAGAGAGCTCTCAAGAGATGGAGAGATTTGTGCCGAGAGTGAGTCCATTGAGTTGAGTTATTAAACACCGTAGGTATTGAGCATATATTAGGACTAGGAAACACTCGAGTGTGTAGGTAATTGTAACTTTGTAATTCTCCGATTTATTAGTGGATTATTTGTCGGTTCTTCCCGTAGACATAGGTTCCGACATTTGGACCGCATCGCGTAAATTTCTTGTGTCATTTATTGTTCCTCGTTTTATTTCTCTGTCGAATTTCTATAGCTCCCGACTTAATTGAAAAGTTTCGATCCACTTCCGCTGTGTCGCCGATTTATAACATAAAGGGTGACCCAAATATGGATTTTTTTATGCTCAATTGTGTAGAGAATCATACACACAAATCCATTCCTTAGTCCCTATAAGCTAGGGTCGCCGCACAATTTCAGTCCGATTCGTTAAATCTTGTGTCTCTTTTTGTTTTTATAAATTGCCATTCAATACCCTTATTCAATATGGGCTTGAAAATTTTCGTTCCAATTAAAAAAGAATGAAGTCGAAATTTAAGTTACAATCAATTCACTTTTTGTAAACTTATTCAGCGTTTCCTCATATGCATATTGACATAATGGAGAGTGTACCATATTATAAAAAGTCAGTATAATCCTACAGACAAGGTATTTGTGATATGATCTCACAAATAAAAGAGAATTTGAGCTAACTGCACGTCGAGCACTTATACTTAGCTTGTGGTCAGTGAATTAATCTACTGATTTGTATTCATAAAGCGGGCTTTTCAGGAAAGACAATCATTTAATACACAGTGATGCATCTGCATCATCTTCATCATCATCCAAGCTCTGCCTTCTTCAAAATATCAGCAACTTTCACTCAACGTCTAACAGAAAGAAGAAACCTATGGGAAGTTTTCGCAGCTCAACCGCCGTGATCTAATCTAATGCTCCTTAAAATCAGCCAAACTGACCAAAAGCATGTTGTTTGGGGTCTTTCATAAACTAACAGCAGATAAAAGACAGGTCCTTCTGATATAAGGTATAGGAGTCACAAACAATTGGTGTTGGAACTCCTTACCAAAAAAAAAAAACAATTGGTGTTGGAACTAGTCTGAACTGAAAGAATGAAAGAAAGGAACAGCTTCTTCTATCTGTGTCCATCAGATATATACGGTGACAGTATACACAAGACTATGTACTCTGCTTCCTCAAAGGGTCCTTGATGTGACTGGAACTTGCCTACAATGATCCGGCAAGCCCACAAACATCCGTTGCCCGGTAGACAACACAATGCGCGTACACTTCATGAAAACTCAGTGATCTTCTGCAATATAGGCATAACTGAGTATTCAGTATATTGGCATACAAGCTTTGAAGATATAATATATTTCATTGTAAGGTACCACTTTTGGGTTTCTGCTTAGGCTCCAAGTAATCAAACTCGTCCTTTTTGTCCGACGTTCTACAGTACAGGCAATTTGCATGCACATAAAAGGCAGGGGAACAAGTTACAGAAAGTTCCAAACCTGCTGGGAATAACCACGAGCACTGTCCTGACAAGGAGGAATATAAAATTCAGAAAATTTAAAATGGTGTGTATGATCAAGATGCTAGTAACAAAGTTATACACTGACTAACCAGCTGCTTTCGCTGAAAGTGTTGGAGTGGTTCCTTGAGCTTCCTGAATGTACGAGCAAAGGATCGCCTATCACCTCCTGCCACAACATTTTGGAAAACAAGTCATGCCTTCTTATTATGTTAGAAATGTGCATTAAGCAAAGATCTTAGTGGCGGAACATTTTTAGGGGGATGTTTGGGGCCAGTTTCCAGATTTTAGTGAAGAGAATTTGTTTTTATCCTGGCACTGGAAATGTGAGAGTGATGAGGGGACGGGAGTACAGCGCCACCTAATAATGAGCTGTTTTGTATGTTCTCAGCAAAATCTCTCAATTTGTTAACCTCTGGCAAAGCCACCCTGCCAAGATCAGACCGATCTTTTTGTCTTAACTCTGCACCCTGCAAGCCAGCTTCACAATGCACAAGGCCTCCTCAACAGGCCTATTAGGGACATTGGGGTTTAACATCTCTGAAAAGTTTTCATTTTCTATGGACGTGCTGATGTTACGAGTTCTTCCTATTGGTCATTTCTTGTGATTGATTCCGAGAGAATATACATCAGATTTTACACCAAGCATTCTAGTTTGTTGATATTTGGGATCAATATAGCAGAAGGTTCCCACAGTTGATGTCATTCGTTACTCAGTCTCGCTTTTGCAACCGAAGGAGTAACTAGCCTTGCCAATCCAACATCGCTGAAGTAGTAGTAACTGAGCAAGATGTTTCTTGGTTTAAGGTCTCGGTGGACTAGAGGCTCCGGTTTTGTCTGATGGAGAAACATAAGGCCCGTGGCTACCTCTGCAGTAATTCGGAATCAAAGTTATCAAGAAAGAACAGGGATTTGCCTCGCCTGAGAAGGTCATCTAAGCTTCCGTTGGCCATGAACTTGTGCACTAGACACCCGTGCTCAGGGCAGGCACCTAAGAGGAGCACCATGTTGGGATGCCTTATGCGGCTATGTACTTCCACCTGCTTCACCGTGACAAATGGACAGATTAAAACGATAATGTAATTTAAGTTACCGTAATTCTGGTTTCTCTTTTAACGGACAAATCCTCATAAAAAAAGTCACTGTGCAAAAGAAGAATCTCATAAACAGAATCCAAACTGAAAAATTGTGCCTCCCTAGATAAAGAATGTGAAGAATCTTGAATTGTATGCCCTTTGCTTTATGACCAGCGACTTTGATAGGTTCATTGGTGGTATGCAATTTCTATAAGATCTAACTCAATCTGTTTGCGGTGGGACAGATACACATGTGGAGATATAATCATATTTCATCTGTTACTTTACGGAAGTCAGATGTCCAACATTTGCTTCGATTGCCGTTCACTTAGCAGCACTTCCCTAACATTCTCAGTTCGTCGATTGATATAAACAGTGACCTTTGTGAGTTACAAAGTCAACTGTGCAAGGCTTAAAAAAGGTTGCATTATTTTCTCTCTCACTTCTTGCTGAAACTTGATCTTCCTTGAGCTGCATCTGGAATGAAAACTTTAACTGAAACAGGTATATGGTCAAGGGAACACTTGAAGACTGGCCCATAACCTCCCTCCCCAATCTTGTAGGACTTGTCAAAGGAATTTGTCACAGCTTCAATCTCTTTGATAGTGTTCATCCTGCATCTTGCATCACTGTAATTTTATGAATCCAAGACCTTCATGTCCTCTGCATCTTTGAGGGCTTTCATTTCCGAATTGGCTCTCCTCTGTGCTTCTATTTCTGCTATCTTCTGTGATGGTTTGGTACTTCAATGGCTGCTTTGCACTTAGCTCTCTTTTTAACAATTGAGAATGCAGCTGCCTGAGCAAATCGTGCTTCTTCAAGACGTCTAGCGTGCTTCTTCAAGACGCCTAGCTTCTTCAACTCTCCAGCAATGCATCTCCATTTCCTGCAGTTAGTTCGGTTTAACCAAGGACCCGCTTTTCACGTGAAATACATACTTGTCTTCTCAGTACCATCTGTTTTGCTGTGAGTGCTTCTTTGCATCCTGTACTATACAACTCCATTGTTGGCTTCAGTTCTAACTTCAGGCTCCTTGTTTCGGCATCAACTTTGGCGTGCATGAATTTAACATGGAAAGAGAGGTTGAAAGTCATCATGTGAGAATCTCACTTGTACCTCAATGATTAATCTTTCGTGGAACATGCTTATCACTTGTATTGAGAATCATACTACTACGATGAACATTCTTTTAATGCTGAAGCATATCTGAAGAGATTGGGGGAGAGAAATGAACCTTTTAAAGTGTTCTGCAAATATCTTTCAGAGCAGGCTGTTTTCTCTGAGGGTCTGTATTTGGTCAAGAAGGGGGGAGGCATGAGAGGCTGGACGGGAATTGTTCCGCACAGGAGACCTTTCTCCTGGAGAAGACATAAACGATGCTGAAATCTAATACCCCTTTCGAGACAGTGCTTGGGACATGCGAAGACTTTAATGTGTCGGAGAAAACCACCAATCTTTGGCAGATCAATGTAAACTCTAGTGTTTGTAGCATTCATATTGAGAATAATGTGCAAATCTCATTCCCTCTTCACAAGTTCAATGAAGATGACAAAACAGGTGAGAAAATAAAGATGACTCTCTCTCTCTCTCTCTCTCTCTCTCTCTCTCTCTCTCTCTCTCTCTCTCTCTCTCTCTCTCTATATATATATATATATATATATATATATAAGAGAAAGTCAATCTCTAAATTGATTCATTAGGATAAAGAAAGTACAATATCGTCTATATATGCGTGTGCTAATGGATCTAAGAATAGTCGTCTTAGAATCTTATACAGATCAGACAGGCTATATTTGCTAAAATTGAAATGAACAAATGTCCATGAATCTTGTGTCGGTCCTGTTCTATTATAAGGGGAAAATGACAAACGATTTTTACTCGACACCAGAAAAAAAGGAATAGGAAAAATGATATAAAAGCTCCGATGCTTCCACCCACATAAGGTGTAGATACATGTGTATAAACATGTATTTGTTCATTTGCATTTGTTTCCAGAATACTTTAGATCATATTAAAATGACTAATGGTTACACCATCATCTTAATTTGGATCCTCTATTCTTGGACCGGAAGTCCTTCGGATCTGTATTCATGATACAAGAAAAACAACATTCATGGGTTTTTATTTCTGTCGAGCTTGTGAATTGGACATTTTCTCAATATTGAAGCTGTGATGATATGCCTTGTTTCTTCAGAGGCTTTTTGACGGTAAGGGAACCTGGCTACAATACTCTGCCAGAGCCCACAATGGGTATGTATTCTTGTAAGCGCCATAGTGTAACATGCAATTCCTCATGTAAACCCCAGTGATTCCCTGCAACGCAAAATTATACTATTAAGAATAACGGCAGTCAAAATTCTTACTTAGTTCATGTTGTTTTGTTGTAAGGCAATTCAAACCATTCGAATTCTCTCTCTCCGATTCAGTTTTTTTTATTCGCACTAGTTCCTGACCATGTTTCAAGTAATTAAACAGATTGTTTGTAAGATGATATACATTGACAATAATCATCTTCTATGTTCTCCTAGTTGTATAGATTAGTGCACAGGAAATACTTTCCAAGGATACTGGTGGCGTGAACTCTTCTATTTCCTGAGATACAAACGCTATATGAGATCAAGTTATAGAAAGGTACAAACCTGTTGGGGATAATCACCATCTTCCATTTGGGAATTGATTAGCAGCTTTGCAGCAAGATGCAGGGGAGTCGGATCCCTCTCCGCCTGATGGTAGATGAAACATCAAAGTCAGAAATCAAAGTCAGAAACTTCACATAATGCGATTGAGACCCAAGCAACAAAATCACTCACTGACCTGCCCCGCATGAATCAGACCCATCACAGCCCAAGCTGTTTGCACCAGATTTGATCTGTTTCCTTCAAGTGGTACATATTTCTACATCGATTGTTTCCGCAGTTAGGAAAGTCTAGATTTCCATGTTGCCAGACATGCAACTAAAACAGCTAAAGCCAAACATGCTGTAGAATGTCCCTCTCGAAATTACCTTGGTCGGGCAAGAAAGATAGCTCTCTCCCCACCCGCCATCCTGCAACTGTGCTCGTAGAAGAAAAGCTACTCCCTTGCGCATTGCTGCACAATCGCTATATGTCTTGCCAGCAGCTGCTAGTCCTTTAAGCGCAAACCACGAGCCGTATGTAAAACAAACTCCCCAAAAGCCACACCTGCAAGAATTGCTCAATTGGTTCCTTGTTTCCTTAATTTATCTGAATTCTTCAGAAATACCTAATGCAAAGGGAACATACCACGAGCCATCTGGCATTTGCGTGGCCTCCAGATACTGTACGGCATTTGATATAAAATCCTCAATCTCCTTCTTCCTATGACCGGGATACAGCTTCCTGAACACAACTAAAGCATTGATAGCAGAGGATGTGCATTCAACATGTTCATGCTCGACAACAATGTCTGCAAAGAACTCTGTCGGATTTAGGACCTGCAAGTGACAAATGATGAGAAAGAATGTCCGGATCTAGTAATTTATGAACAAAGAGACATGTCTTAGTCTGTGAGGACTATCAAGGAATTCCTACAAAATTAGTAACTACTTACTTCGAGCCAATCCGGAGCTCCTGCACGCTCCCATGCTGGCAATCCGCCATTTTTACTCTGGAACAAGTGACATCCATGGTTGATGTGATGATATTATAATTTAAAATCAGACTTGGACATCTGGAAAAATTAGGAAACTCAAAGAAAGACTTAAAAAGCAACATGATTTTGGGATGCATGGAGCAAACTAAGTCTAGCCAATATTTCTTGTCTGGCTCAAAGATTTTCTCAAGTCTTGCTCAAGAAAGAAAAACGATGGTATACTCACTTGTAGATAGAGTAAGACGTTGACGGCATCGTATAATCTCTCTGGCTCCATCTTCTCACCAACAATTTCAGGTGGCATCATTGAGAAAAGCAAGCAACACTGAATAAATAGGGAAAGAGATTCAGTGAGAAAGTGAGCAATTTTGGATTGGAATGAACCTGCGGATGCAGTGAAGGTTCATTGGAGTATTACCTTCAGACCATCTGCAGTGCAATCAGAGACTTGCCAACCGTGATCTTGATCCGAAAGTGTCCAAGATCCTTTAGAAATATGACGGTGCATGCTTTTGAAGTCACCAGAAGGATTTTCCTTGACCTGGAATGTGTAAACAGATCGATGCAGTTCGTTTTATGTGAGGAAGCAAAGGAAACTAGGAAGATGTGTGGAGACAAGCAGATGCTCACAACAATCAAAAATCAGACCTGAGATTTTTTAATGTAGTCGTGTCCTCTAGCTAATACCGGTGCTATCTCCTCAGTCATATTACTGGCAAGCAAAGCTTGGATGGCAAGGGCCGTATCCCACTCTTGGCTACCAAAACCCTGCAGATTAATGAGCCAACCGCCAAACTAAGCTTTCCTCTAGATGGTCTCACTTTACTTAATCTATCTTCTCATTATTATAAGAATACATCCATCTTTCAAATATGCACCATAAGTATTTATCGGTTCAATTTAAGAGCCGATTCTGTTATGGTTCGGTGACACTACTACTGACCTGCATCTTCATACCATCTTCAGCAACCCAAAGGTAATCCGGTATCCTAGCGAGATGTTTCTTGAAAGAGTCACCGTCTGGGTCTTCTACCCAGCAAGCAAGCATGAATAATGCCTGTTCAAGTCCAAAGCAAAAGATGTATTCTCAGTGATGTTTCCCATGATGTGTGAATTTTGCGATTCATGTCTCTCTCTCCTCCTGAAATCTATGTACTCATTACCTTTTCGACACTTCCAATTGTGATATATCGACTGTTCTCATCTTCGTAGTGAATGTGCTTCATCGTCACCTGAAGAGCCTTTTCTCTAAGTTTATTAAACGGCCAACGGTTGAGAAAAGGCTCTGTAAATATGTAAAGACTATCCCAGATCAGATCCTGTATTAAAGGATGGGGATAGTAGAGATCCTCCTACAACAACCATTCGAATCATTTCGTTAAAAATTTGCTGACTTGCAAACTATCTGATTCTGGATCGATATTTTGGACCAGCTAGTCCTACTTGCCTTGGCACAAAGATGGCGGACTTTTCTCCAGCAAATCGTGTTGTAGGGTTGAGTATGAAGTTCTTCTCTCAACTGTTGAATAAGAGGCGTGATCGGGCCGACGAATCTTTTCCCATACAAGTATGACATGGGCATGTAAGTCAACCGACAGTAGCACAACATCTTAGCTGCATTGTTCAAAACGGGACAATTCAGACATGTCAATGAAACTAAGGTGCAACACAATTACACGAAACAGAAGTTGAAACTTTCTGTCTGTCAAAGGAAACTCTGTGAGGGTGGCCACTTCAATAAAAAACCAATGCCATATTCTTGTTGATGCAGCAAAAATGCCGTTTGAAATCTAGTCCAACACCTGTCTTAATACCTGTCCAAAATTAAATATACAGGACTACTAATAGATTACCATCGAGGACAAGATCGAGATAAAACAAACCTGGATGCATGGGAAGGAAAGAAGGCAAGATCCAGAACTCAGGGGGCATTGGGTTGCATCCAGACCAATCGAAAATGCCGAGAATCTACAGAGCGTGCATGACAAGACAACACACAAGCACAATGTCACATTTCGATTCACTCAAACACACAGAACTCTTCAGAACAACTTTTTATCGATTAATGAAGGAAGAGTGAGAGAGTACCGAGAGCCAAGTCTTGCCCCAGGAGGGTGTGTAGGTGACCCCGCCGTGGTCAAGAATCCACTTCCTGGCCCGAGTACAGGCATTGTGTAGGCCACCATCGGGCCCTTCCCCGAGAATGCGCATGCATATGTAGTTCAGGGCCGTGCAGAACATGATGCTGTGACCTTCAATGTGCAAGCCCCACCCACCATCTTTATTCTGCAATAAAATTTATGCAAAACACACGCGAAGTTTCAAGTCAAACTCTTTCAAAGTTCGTCTGCTGGTTTCTCCATCTGGGTGTCTTTCTTTTTGCGAGAAAAAGTACCTGGTGGTTGTATATGTAGCGGAGGATCTCTTTGCGGTGCTCAGTGGGAAAGACGGTGGAGAGGTGGCCGGTGATGTAGACGCACATGACCAGGGGAGGGAGGAAGAAGTGATCGCCGGAGAGCTCGGCAGGCCAGTGGCCATCACTGGCCTGCAGGGCGGAGAAGAAGTGGATGGCCCGCCTCAGCGCGGTGGACGCCTTGTCGTAGGTGATCTCCTCGCCATCCTCCACCCTCACCGGCAGGATCGTCTGCTTGAACTGTTTCTCCCTCAGGAACTGCTCAGAAATCATGGACCATGCGTCAGCTTAAGATTGCCCATCACTTGGTATTACCACACGTAAAAGTTTTAAATTTTATGTCAAGCAACAACAGTAATGGTGTGCTGAACAATAACAATGAAAATTATAACGGGGATTCAAACAACTCTCAGATTAGTTCAAAAATGATATACCAAAGTCCTAACGTGATGAAAGTGATATTTGTACGTTTAGGACAATTCAACTCTCCAAAAGCGTGTTTATCACATCATTTATCATTTTGTAGACAGCTTTCACTAAAACCTATCTGTCCTTGACCGCTATAAGGGCAGCAAACGATAAGAGTTATTAATCTACAAACCCCAAGTCCCGAGATCGAGATGATTACTTCCCCCATATAATGAGTAAAAATCTAGCATTTCTCGTAAGACTACGGTGGTGAGCTCATTTTCACGGCATACTTTAGTGCCAAAATTTGCGTACGATACTCACTTTAGTGTCAAAAGTTTTCGCCGGCTCACTTAAGTACCAAATCGAAGGAAAATCGATCACTTAAGTGCCAACGGCGAGAAATTTCGGCCAAATTAATACGTGACTTTTATAATTAAAATTTTAATCTGAGTTGGATTTTTTTAGAAAAAATAAGTATACGTGACATTTCCATGTGTATATTTGGATTTTTTAAATATTTTTCTGAATTTTTTTTCCTTCTTTTCTTTTTTTCTTCTCTTTCTTTTTCTTCTACCCTCGGTCACCGTCGGTGACCGGAGACCGGCCACGGCCAGCCGCCTGGCCTCGCCTGGACGAGGCCGCCGTCACCCGCCATAGGTGAGGCCCCGCCAACCCTCGCCTGGGCGAGGGCGGGGGAGCCCTAGCAAGGGTCAGCCTCACCTCGCCTGGGCGAGGGCGAGCCCCGGCGAGGGCTCCCCTCGCCAGATCCAGCGAGGCCGGCTATCACCGAGACCACGGCGAGCGTCGCCTTCCCCTAGGCGACGGCCGGCCTCGCCGGATCTAGCAAGGGTCAGCCTCAACTTGCCTGGGCAAGAGCGAGTCCTGGCGAGGACGAGCCCCGGCAAGGGCGAGCCCCGGCGAGGGCTCCCCTCGTCAGATCTGGTGAGGTGGCCATGGCCTGGGTAACGGCGGTCTCGCCGGATCTGGCGAGGGGAGCCCTCACTGGGGCTTGCCCTCGCCTGTGGCGGGCGACGGCGGCCTGGTCCAGGCAAGGCCAGGCGGCTGGCTATGGCCAATGGTCGGCCTCCAGTCACCAGAGGTAGAAGAAGAAGAAAGAGAAGAAAAAAAGAAAATAACGAAAAAAAATCATAAAAAATATTTAAAAAATCCAAGTGTACATGCTAAACTACGTCATTTTGATGTGTACATGCTGACTATATGCTGACTAGACCTCCGGCGAGCCACATCAACTTCAAAAATTAATAAAAAAAAATGCAACGTCGGATTTCCGGCCAAACTGATCGGAGTTGGCACTTAAGTGATCGTTTTTCAAAAATTTTGACACTGAAATGATCAAAAAAAAATTTTGACACTAATGTAAGCACCGTACACAAGTTTTGATACTTCTGTTGTTTTTCTTCCCTTTCGGTGGGCTTGGGGGATTGAAGCAATAGCGCGTTCGTTTGAAAAGGAAAGAAGAGGAAACAGACAAAACCAAGAAGAGAGGGAGGGAATGTGGTGAAGTCGGAGGAAGGTGGGGTTGAATTTTTTTGACCGAAAAGAGATTTTTTGGCCTCGGATCTTCTACTTGAAACGTGGAGGCCCGACAGCAACTGGATAGCACGCTATTTATGTCTCGGAAACTAAATACATAATTAGCTAACGTAATCGAAAATTGTTTCAAGGTATTAATGTTGAGTTCGATACGTGCGTTCGTGCATGCGATGCATGGTACCACTTTGCGTGCCTGTGGCTAAGCTAGTCCTCAAATTTAAAGAAAAGAAAATATGGACACGACAGTTCTTTCACACACCCACACACAAGCAAGAAACTGGCCGACTCTGAATGAGAACGAGTGCGTCTGCATGTTTAGGTGCGTGGCGTATGTTACATACCTGCATGCGCCAGAGGAGGTCATGGGAGGGCTTGACGCGGTGGCGGTGGTCGTAGAAGTGCTGGCGAGCAGCCTCAACCTCGGCGCGCTCCTCGGCGGTGCCGGCCTCGGGGTCGAACTCCCAAATCTGCCTCCCCACGTAGTTATTGGTGCTGTACAAGTAGGGACCGTCCACTCCTGTTGCTATCTTCAGCCTCCACATTCTGATCTTCTCTTTTTACCTCTTCCTTCAACTGAACAAATTGTGACTCTGTATTTGTGTCCTCGCGTTCTGTCCTTCCTGATGCAAATGAAAAAAGAAAAATAACCCACAACAGAAAATGAAGAATGAGTTGCTACAGACCAAAACTCCTCAACCAACAAGGTCATTATACATCCATGGGCTCTGTTTTCCGAGATTATGTCACCATCAGCAATCATTGTGCATTCAAGCTATCGAAACTTAATCGCGCGTTGATCTTATTTTGGCATTGCGAGAGCATGAACCAATTATACAGAGAGACAGAAACCTCTTTTGTTTTTTAGAGATGTGTGAGAGTTGATGAGAAAAGAGGCAAGCTCTCTCTCCAATTACAGAGGGAAAGACAGATACCTCTTTGTGGGCTTGTGGAGAAAAGAGACCTCTTTGTGGGCTTGTGGAGAAACGAGGGACCTCTATTTATACTCACTTCTACAGGATCATTGCCTACTATTCTAAAAATTTAAACTATTAGATTAATACGTGATTTATTATTTAAATATTCTAACATTAAGGAAATATGCAACTAACTCTGATACTACGTAGATTTTGTAGGATCATTGTCAACTATTTCAAAAGCTTAACATGTCAGATGAATGCATAAATATTTTGCGCACGGCAGAAGTCCATATCTTCACTCGAGGGGATCGCCAAGAGGAAACCTAAGTCCGAACCCATTAACATATGCAATGAAATCCACCTTCAATCAAAAGTTTAAGCCAATAAATTATGGGAACTATGATACATTAATTGCTCAACACCGCACCACTTATTCAATATGAGACTTCTCTAACACAATTCACACGTGTAACTTAATGGGATCAACATATTCATGTAGTCTCATTAGGACACACTGAAGAGCACAGCCCGTGATGATTGTTCCATCGTGAGGAATGAGAGAATGGTACACCCAAGACAGATCGATGGAGTGCCGAAAAAGCTTTGCGCAACAGTGCCACTCAAGTCATGTGCAATTCGGGTCCTATATTGCCCTCTAACCTAGGTTGCAACAAAATAGTACGCATGGGCTCCTTTCCTCTGTTAGTATGAACGGGATGAAAATTACACGACGCGGGATACGGACGGATGCAAACCGTCAATTTTCTCAAAAGTATGTGACCAAATCTAGGCATTACTTTAATATTATATAAGAATGATGTTATTTTCGATTAATTTTAATGATCTTATGGATGAGAAAAAGTTGCATAACCATCCAAATTACAAGATCACGCAAAAAATCTCGCATCCAGTGATTGATTTGACTTTTATGAGTGCTAAAAAGTCATGATATATTGTCAACACTTATAATTTGGTTAAACCTCTCTCTCACGTTACCGATTCTACCACCGTCATCTCTATCTTGTTGTCAACCAAGTTAACGTCCCGCACAATTCATCGTATGGATTATATTATGTACATTATTGTATTAGTCAATAATTGACTGCTGATTAATCTGCCTAGTCAAAATGGACAAAGCTATCGGATTCAATTGGTCATTCACTTGAGTATCTTGCCCAAAGTAATGTTTGTACGTGTGCCTTGACCCTCCCGATATTAACCTTGCGGGTTTAACGGATTGTTAGGTAGGTGCGTTTAGCCCCGTAAGGCAGCGCTTATGCTTCATTATGTCTCTCTCGAGCCCTGCAGACTGCGACTTGATTTTTCGCGCACAAGCACGAATAATTTGATGGACCGGCACCGAATGAGAACAAGCGTGTGTGTGTTCAGGTGCGTGGTATGTGTTATGTACCTGCATGCGCAAGAGGAGGTCGCCACAGGGCTTGACATGGTGCCGCCACCTCGGCGCGCTCCTCGGCGGTGCCTGCCTCGGGGTTGAACTCCCAAATCTGCCTCCCCCACGTAGTCGTTGGTGCTGTACGTGTAGGGACCCGTCCACTCCTGCTATCTTCAGCCTCCACTCCTTTTTCTATCCACGTGGGAGAGATGAGTCAAAAGAAACAAACAAACAAAAAATCCAGCAATAGCAATGTCCGCAAATCATGTTTTGGTCTTAATTACCACAAAATTGCTTCTTAGTGTGTTACTCTATCTTTTCGGGTGAGCCAAGGATTTTGTTGCGAAAAACTCCATCCTCGGTTTATCAAGTGAGTTCAAATTGATCTCACCCTTTATGTATATTATTAGCTATAGATATGTTCGTCTTCAATATCGCAAAAATCCGACATACTACACATCAGGTCATCGGGTTGATTGAAATTTCTGGGAATCGTCTCACGTATTAATCCATTTATGACAATGATTTTTTATGTAACAACCCGATTCATGCGAGTATTTCATGCGTTGTAGGTAATCGGCCCTGCGTGGTTCTTATTTAACATGTGTATTATACCATGTACACATAAGCAATCGATCAATCGCTTGATAATCTTGCTCAAAGTTATGCTTGGAGGCATGATGTATTCGCACATTTCCCTTTCCGAACGCCTACTCAATTACACATTTTATTCTTGGCCATCAACAAACTCCGTTACCCAATAAGGTGAGGGATCTTTTAAGTTCATTGAAAGTACGTGCCATCCAGAACTCTTATCTTGATTGCACTGATGTTTTCTTGGTTAGTTGGACGGACAAGTGCCGTGTGATATATATAAATCAATCTCGAACCTAAATACCGCGGAGCTTCCATATCATGTTGTTAAACCGGTCTATCTGGTATATATGTAATGGTATTGTAGCACAATCTTAGTAAAAAAAAAAAGAGTCGTATAATACCTAACACGTATATTCTGCGACACATTTTATGAGACTGCATCACCTTAAAGGCCTCGTTTGTTTTGCAAAGATATGGAATCTAAGTTTAGAAGAACGTAATCACTATCTCTACAATTATCTTGAGGATTCAATTCCAACTAAAAATTCGGCTTTCAATTACTCTCATAGACCTTGTATTATGATTTCTATTTCGTCATTCCTAATTGTCACGTGAATACTTCTTTGAAGAAATTGTGACACTTCACAATTAAAAAAATTTTTTAAAAAAAGCATATTTTCCTCCAGATAGTTTTATGATTGGCAGATTACACACAAGAATAAAATCCAAATGCATTATTAATTAATCTCAAATTGTAACCCATCAATCAAAGGTCTTTTTCTCCAATTAGGACGGAGGAAAAAAAATAACCCAATTCAAAGAACGAATTATGAATATAGTCCTCAATTTCTAGTTGTTCAACAACATCAACACACGGGGGTTAAGTCAAAGAAGCATTCATTTTGCTTTCAGTGAACTCAAAATTGAAAATCAATGCAACATGCTTTCTTTTCGCTTAAGCAAAGTTGTTTGGAGCATACCGTCAATTGATATTTATGAAGTGAAAAATGGCAAACCTACTCTTTTCAAACAAGATCAATGGGAATTTGGCTGTATGTCAGTTGGGAACATGAGACTTTCTTCTAAATTTGACCAATGCGAACTCTGCCATCGCAAGGAGGCTGTCGTAGAACCTGAGAAAACAGTAAGGTGATCACATAGCAAATTGCAATTTCAAACCGGAAACATGTTCTTCCAACAGAAGCAGATGCACAATCCCACATATTTTCCGCAGGGAGGGACTTCATGACTGATTGCGGATGATATACTTCTCAAATCCAGCGGACGCTTCCATCTCATACTCTTTGTCCCACGAGAAGAGTACAGAGACGACTCCAACTGATTCTCGCTGTTGCTCCACCACTCTATTATCATCTGGAAAGTAGTATACAGATATCATAACATCTAAAATGTTAAAGATTAAATAAATGAATAAAATATTAGAATGCTGCATCATATGATTTACACATCATCAAGGATTATTTGCGGTGCAGACAATGCAGTTTCAAAATGGGCTGTTTGTGTATAAAAGCTGACAATTCTGTTGTGTGGAATTGGTAAGTCTTGTTCCAGGTAATTACATACATTTGACCAAACACAAAGAAAAATAAGGATCTCTTTCTCTTTTTGCTCTGTGTTTTCTAACCCATGCACCTCTCTTTTTCAACTCTTATACACCATCCAATAGGTGGTTGCCGTACCAATAGATCGACCTAGTGTTGTAACGAAATGTACTTTGCTCGTTAGACCTTCAATATAGTTCCAGCAACTTCTTAGGTCATGGTACCTCAGTTCTGCGGTCTTTGACTGGAAGAATCACCGCAATTACTCAGTTTTGTCAACACGTAGCCGACGGCTACTTTAGCTCCAAGTGTAGAGTGGCCACAAGTCAGGCAAATGATGCCTCCAAGAAGAAGAAAACCATCGGCAAGTGCTTTCTTAGATGGTCTTCTCAATAGTTTTTCCTATTCAGTGATTGTTTCGACACAAACTGAAGGTGCTGCAGCCACTGGTGAAGAGTTAGCGCTACCTGACATTTGTAGTTCACGAGGTACCTAGGAGTGGAAGAAACGCATATATCAGCCACCATGTAGAAAATTTCGGGAGAGTTTGCTTGCAGATATAACGAGAAAATGTAAAAAAAATTATTGTTGGCTGCAAACTATGGACCTGTGGAAAGAGAATAATTTCTGAAGAGAGGCTTTATTCTCGATTCTGTATGTCATGCTTACAAGCAATACAATGATTTATTTATAGGTTGTAGTCTGCCCTTCTAAAACTGAAATAAACTTAATTATAGGCAATTCTATTAATAGCCATAAACCAAAATTAAAACCCATTATCACCCGTAAGAGTAACTGCTGACTCTTGACATTTCATTTTCCTATAAAACTGCTGAAATCACGCACTAATAAAAACGGACATTTAATGTTTATTTAACAAGACTCCCCCATAAACTTAAATGCTTCTGCCATCTTTCATGCCGATCAATCTTTTGCAGTTGTCGAGAAGTATCGTCGGTAGCGGTTTCGTGAAGATATCCACGACTTGGTCCCGACTTGCCACGTGCACTAATTCCACACTTCCTTCCTTCACTTGATCTCGGATGAAGTGAAAGCGAACGTCAATAGGTTTGCTTCTCTCATGATTCACCGGGTTCTTGCTCAACTCAATTGCTGATTTGTTGTCAACTCGTATCACAGTCGCACCGAGTTGTTGTTGCTCCAACTTGCCCAACAAATTTCTGAGCCATATTGCATGACGTACACACAAAGATGCTGCCACATATTCAGCTTCACATGTCGAGAGTGTCACGATCGGTTGCTTCTTTGAAAGCCAGGTAAACGCCGTGTCACCCATAAAAAACACATAACCCGATGTGCTTTTCCGATCGTCCAAGTCTCCGCACCAATCGCTGTCGGAGTACCCGACCAACTTGTAATCTACCGCATTTGTATAGAATAAC